TTAAATTCTACACTTAATGAATACCATTTAGTAATTGTCTATTTTCAAATAAAGACAAGTACTAAATGGTATTCACTACAGTTAGTGAATACCATTTAGTAATTTTCTATTTCAAACAGAGACTCTAACAATTAATTTGAAAATGAAAGAGTTACTGATCAGTGGTTCCAATTTAACAAGTAAAGACAATTTCTTATTTCACAGTGGGCTTCTTCTTGTAAAAACTAACTGGCACTTTTTCATCCTTATCTTACTTGCCCTCTCTGCTTCATTTGGCGCTCACGATCCCTCTACCCTATTTTGAAACTCTGTCTTCAACTTCCTCTTGTAACTTTGGGCTTTTCTTTTCAATTTCATAAGCTCCACTTCCACTGTACAGCTCTTGAATAATGGTATCACAGTAAGAGAGAGCAAAATGCATTCTGAGTCCTGCAAGAGGCTCGGTACGACTAGATTACAGAAGGTGGGGTAGGATATAGTGAAAGATCAACTGGATAGGTGATGAGGGGTCAGATCATAAAGGGTTTTACAAGCCAGAGTAAGATGCTCAAGTTTTACCCTCAGATCAATAGACAGTCATTGAAATGGGTGATGATAAGTTTGGAATGATAAATGAGATTTTTCATCTTAGAAGGTCACTCTGGAGAAAGAACTGAGTATGTAAAGACTGGAAGGAGGAAGACCAGGTAAAGAGATGCTGTGATCATTCAAATGGGTTAATTATAGTGGTCGGGACGTACACGTCTTATGGAAAATGGAGATAAAAGAAGTGGACAGATTCAAGAGATATTCAGGAAGCTGAACTGACAGAACTGGATGGCTGATTGAATGAAGAGAAAAGAGTTGAGAATGACACCCAGGTTTTTGGCTTGGAACACCAAGTGGATGGTCAGGCCATGCACTGAGATAACATATATGGGAGGAAGAAGAGAAGGAGACTGGAAGCGGTGGGCTGATGATTAATTAAGTCTGGGCAGGTTAAATTTAAGGTCTCTCCACCCAAGTGGAAATGTCCAGTACACAAGTGATATATGCATCAGAATCTCAGCAGAGAGATTTGGACTGAAATATAATTTTGGAAATCATGAGAGTATAGAAAACAACTGGAGACATGAGTTTGATCATTGAGCCCCTCCTCTCCTGTATTTACCTCTTTCACATCAAACTGTAAGAACATAACCATGGACTGATCAAACAGTTGGGTTGAGAGCTCTAATGCTTGATGAGAAATTAATTAAAGGGGCCCAACTGGAGGTTCAAAAGCTAAATCTAGGTTTTTTGATGTCTTCTACCTGGATCTGTAAACATTAGAAGAGAGAAGGGCCAGGATGAACAAACAGAACAAGTGACCTCAGAAGAACCAAAGACAATTCACAGTACAAAAGAGAATTGTTTAAAAACTCATTGGGAACAGCAGGGATTTGAGAGAACATTATATCCATTACAAATGAAATAAAATAAAAGCAGAAGCTGCTATGATAGGAAATATCAGAGAACAAGAAAATATTCCTCAAAATCAAAAATATTAGCTTCAAAATAAAAAATTGACAGAAATTATAGAAGAAAAATTTAAGTAAATGTCCCAGGGTGTAAAATAAAAAGGCAAAAATGGGATATATGAGAAAAAGCATTTAGAAGACACAGAATCAATTCAGGAGGTCCAACATCCAGTTAGTTTACTCAAAGTGCATTCAGATGCTCAAAGCAGCTTCTTTATTTCTTATAGATAGGTAATCCCATGATCCTCATGCATCCCCACCTGGTCAGTTGCAGAACCTATATATTAGTCCAAAACAGTAAATTCAACCCAGTGCAATAATTTTAAAGCTCCTTTAGTAAAACTTCACCTTTTTGATTTCCTCTCCTTTCCTCTGCTTCTCCAAGATGGCAGGCAGTTAGGGAAAAGAAAAGTGTGTCATCTGTACTTCAAGGCAATGTGATGGAGGGCAAAATAGAGTCCTTGGATCTACCAGCATTCTCCTCTTGTTCATCTCAACTACTGAGTACCAGGGTTGGGAGAGCCTGGGACTGCTAGTTGCAGTAGATCACCTCTTTCTGTCTCCAGGTGTTCTAGAATCTGCTCCCATTGTCTGTGCCTGGTATCTTTTGGCTGGATGAGGGCCAGCCCTGCTGGTGCTCCTGACTAGTGTGGCCTTACCCCAGTTGTTAAATGGCACGAGGAGCTCTCTGATCCTCTTCTTTGTGCCCCACTTGGATCCTGGCCATCATAGCTTCTGAACACCATGGCTTCTGCTGCTGGGGCACCTTACCACTTGCCACAATAGGCCAGGGCCTACTGCCTTTCAGCTCAGCCAGCTTCCGTATCTCTTCTGGGAACTCAGGAGTGCTTGGAAAATAAACTGTGACTTCTTCTTCCTAACCAGGCTGGGCCACTGAATTTATCTTGGTGTCACCATTACCCAAATTGGTTCATGAGACTTACAAACACCTTCTTCTACTGCCCCAGTCAAGGAACAAGCATTCCCCTTAACCTATTCAGCATGAGCTCCGCACTGTAGTGAAAAGCCCAGAGAGTACAGATCAAGTCACATCTGCCACTTTGGTCTCCTGTATCCAGCAACCACCCCACAGGAAGAAGAGAAGCAGGTTTGGAACATTTGATCTCTCTGCTGTGGTCCTCCTTTGCACTACTTTAGGTATATAATTTTCTATGGTCTTATCCACTAAGCCTGCCTTTTGATGTGTTAGAGAGGTAAGTAAAGGAATTTGGGAAGTTTTCGTCTCTCTCAGAGATCGCTAGATTCCAAGTCTATCACTTTGCTTTGAACTCAAGCATCCCTTGTAAGTATCAGAAGCTGAATATAGACTCTTTGCATTGCTACTGTAAAAATTCTAACCCTACTCCTTAAAGCAAAGTGATGCTTCAAGTTAACCGGAGAAAAGTCCATGTACACAGAACAGCAAAAAAATAGGGAATATTAATATCTTTTAATATACTCTCCTGCATTAACCTACTCTCTTGAGAATCTAACTCTCCTGCATTAACCTACTCTCTTGAGAACCTAACATACTTTATTGAGCTTTAATGGCTGCCTCTGGGAGCATGGCTGTGGGAGTAGGAAGGAATGGGGAACTAGACAGTTGGAATTTTTCCTGTGTCTCATAATATGCATTATTTTAGTATTTTAATTAAGACTTTTGTACCATAGGGAATTAGGAAAATACTTTTGCCCGTACTTTGGGAAGGAATATCTTTTTGCCCAACAGTGTCACCTCGCTCATACCAGAAAGATGGTGATAGAAGTAGAGACTGGCAAACAACCTCTGTGTTTAGTGGAATGTCAATCGCAGGGGGCAATGCAATAGCATGACTAGCAGGCCAAAGCTAAGCCCCATGGAGCCTCTGCTTGAGCACATATAATGTAATATCCTAGCCTCATAAATAGCTATGGGACAAATCTCAGATAAGTGTTTCTAACATTCAAGCTGATCCGAGTTGGGGCTTCTGTAGTTTGACTTACACTTACACTCTTCCTCCTAGACAGCTCTTGAAGCCCCCTACTTCTCCTTTCCTCTGCCCTTATCATCATCCAAGCCTTTATCATTTCTCACCTTAATCAATGGGCTTTTGCCATTTCATACCTTGTCCTCAGCTCTATACCTGCTACCCTCGATAAATGTTTATTAAAGTGAATGAATAAATGGATGAATGCCTGATTTTGAGTCACTGAAATCTAGCTGGCATCCTCCATGCTCGCTACCCTCCTAGTTATTTAATAAAGAAAAATAATTTTTGTTATAAAGCATTTCTTCAGTACTTGAAATGTTTCCCTTTTACAAAGGGAAATTTCTACTTAATTGATAAGATGTATATTTTAAATCATGATAGTATATTTTGAGCCATATATGTGACATTAAAATATTTACTTAAGTACATAGATGTTTCTGCACCCTTTTCCTAATCATTAATTTCCCCCAATAATTCATTTGACCAATTAATATACAATTTTAATAAAGCAAAAAATATATTGATCTGATTTTTTAAATGTTGTGATAAATAAAACAGCTGCTCCTGAAGAACTGTAGGTAGTATATATAGGCTGCTATCTTGTTTTGAAGTAAAATTATCCTTAAGTCCTTGTTAAACAGTAATGCATTACAAGAACAGAAAGGAAATACTTTATAATAGAACTAGAAATAACTCAGTAGACTTCTGAATAAAAATTTACTTTGAAGGTGGCTTTGAAATTATTAAACTATATCCTGCTCCTCCCCCCAGGCACATACGTCACATAGAAGATCTCTCTCTCTCACTCTCACTCTTGCTCTCTCTGTAACTTTTTGAGGTTCATAATTTGAAAACTGAAATTTCTCTGTGACCTTGAAAAAGAATTCTTGCCTAACCAAGGAGAAGGGTGGATTTGGGGAGTTGAGATTATTAATAATATTACAGGATGAAACATATAGAGATGCTTTCAGAGGTTAATCAGGCTGCAAAGTTAGTCACTAGACTTGCTGGCGAATTATCAGATCACTAAAGTCCTGATTCCAGTACAGAAATATGACCTTATTCAATCATTATTCACAGAAAAGGGAGGGGCAGATGCTCTAAACTGCACTGGTGGGAAGTTTTCCTCTACTCTATTTATTCTCAAAACAATACTTGGCCAACTGATCTTTTTAAAACTGCTAGTGTGATAGTTCTTATTTTTACAGGCCACTCTAATCACCTTTTTTGCCAGCCTGGGGATTAATCCCAAACAATTATCCCAAACAATCAGGATAGTTGGCAATAACTTCAGGGTAATTTAGATGCCTTGAAATCTCTGACTTGTAAAACCATCAGTTCATCCAACTCTGACATCATTAAGTAAGACTATTCTTTTTATCAGCGAAATCACTTGGTTCTTTCCAAGCTCTGCCCTCCCAAGTTCTGCATAAAGTATTATTTAAAATGTATAAATTATTACCATGGGGTATTACGAACAAATAATTAGAAGAACAAGCAGACTCTTATGCTCTGCCATGCCATGACTTACCCATTTTTGAATTAAGTATCGAGTCTTGTCACCTTCTTGGATTAGCTTTATGTGAAGTAGCCTCTTCTTCAGAGAGGAAAATCTATTTTAGACAATGACATTTGCTCATCAATATGTGGCTTAAAAAAAAAAATGAAAGAAAGCACCTGAGCCTTCAAATATAGTAAGCTTAAGCCTAAAATGGAATCACCTAAAAGTAGGAATACTAATTCGCATTAAAATCCACTATGTTTAAAATTTGAGCTGAATCAGGTACATTGTTGTAATTTCCTGAGCATTTGTCTTGAAAACTGATTAGAAAATCTGGAGATAGTACTTGGTATTCCTAGCATGTCCCAGAAGCCTTTGTGTTCATTCTTTCGATTCCAACGTCCCATTTGGAAGCAATCCAGAATCTAACAATAAGACAAGCTTGACTCACCAAGATTCACTTTCTCAATGTATATCAGTCAGGGAGACTATGGGAACAATTACTTGGTGTATGAGTGAGAGACAAAAAGTAAGAAAAGGTCTTCTATTACAATGACATACAAAACAGCTCTCCATCAAGAGTACATTTAGCTCTTTATAAAACAAACATGTTGTTTCTTTGCTTTTGTACACAGTTATGTCTTTAAACACGCAAGAGAAACCACACAGAATGAGGAACTGGATATCAATCATGTCAACATTATGCTCTGCTTATTCCTAAACCATAGGCTGGAATTGAGCTAACCTAAACTTCACTGAATGTTAATATAACAGCTGGCAACATACTTTCTTAAAAAAGGACTCCAAGAGTAATGAAAATGAAAATATAGCCCATGACATTGATCTAAGTTTTGACAGACGTTTTTGGTCAGCATAACATATGAGCTCAGAAATGAAGTTCCAGCCATGTATGTTTCAGAAAAGACTTCCTCTATAAATAAAGTTGTTATAGGAAATGACTAGCAGCATCATACCCTAAGCATCTTGGCCAATAATAAATTGAACATTAATGGAAACTGACTATTCCTTACATGTCCCCATAAGCTAACAGACTAAACATCCAAGGCATCTGGAATTACTTGCCCTGTTATGGGCTGTCATACAGTTTATCATCTCAGGGCCTATTTGACGTGGCTGGTGCTCTTAAAAGCCCCAGTAATTCCGCTGCAGAACTAAAATTCCATTTTGAGTAGCCGCAGGATTTGTTGATCAACAGCACAGGTGGAAAGAGAAGGGGCTTGATGAGAAGGACTTATCACCCTCTAATAATATGCACACAAGAGAAGGACGGGATGGATGCATTATTTTTAAATTGTGTCTGGCCAGCATGTCAGGACTGATTGAAGAATCCAGCAACAGTGAAAAGAGTCATGTCTGCCTTCAGATATGAAAAGCCAGTTATGCACTCTTATTTCTTGTCAACGGCTTAGATCAGTCTCTCATTTTTAGGACAAATAATAAGAAAAATCGTAAAGAAAATGTCAATTCCACCCCGCCATAAATTTAAGTAAAAATTTTTTAACTAATAGCCTTCCTCCCCTTTCTGTAGAAAGGCAATATGGTGTGAAAATGTTTTCTCCTAAGTGATGGAATGTACAGTCATGCACCAGCAACTCAACTGGGTGCTGAATATCAACGTGCCTGTTCTGGAAGAAACCGCTCTGGGGTTAGAGGGAGCACACTGTTGGAAAGAGAGGCACTTCAATGCAGGAGGGGAGGCCGTGCATCTATTTCAGAAGATGGAGGTTTATCTTCCAGTGGAGGGCTTTGATACTATTCATATGCTAACAATATCACCATTTCCTCACAGCACTCAATACACAGGGAATAAAAGACGTCATTTGCTGACATGGGGCGCAACACTTTCTGTCCAGCATACTGATCAAAAATCTGCATTCAGCTTCCAAGGCGAAGCCACCACATAACCTTTAAATTGTTCTTTGAACACTTTAAATTTCCGGTCAAAATAATTTCCCATTTTAGAGAATAAAATGATGAAACAAAGAACTCTAACTGTATTTTCCCTCCGCTCCTAACACGTAGTTTTAGTGCCCCGAGGGCTCCTTTCATCTGGTCTAAGTGCTGGCATATGATGTGATTGTTAACAGAGCCGGCCACCAGATGAAGTGAATTATCTCAACTGCCAAAGCTCCCACTTTCTTTCCAATTTAAACATCAATTTAACACAGAAACTGAAGGGTATTATGAAAGCTTTAATATGAACCATTTCAGACATGAGAAAAAAAATACTGGAAGGTTTTTTCAAACTATCAAACAAATATGTAATTTTTTGAACCTGAAGATGAGTCAGGAAAACGAGTGGAACAGCAGAACACACAGGATACTCACTTTAACCGACAGCAAGAGAGAAGGACCTCTTTGTCTTAAATAAACATGCTTTTCAGAACAGGGAGGATTTTACTAAAGAAAATTAAATTGTGAGGTCATGAACTAAACACAGTGATCAACAGCAAAGAGAAGACTTCTGATTTAAAACATTTCAAAATGCATATCGTCAACCTGGATGATCTGGGATGTTTTTAGTGGTCTCCTCTGGATTATTAGGGTCCTTTTCATTATACAACTTGCCTTTCTCATGGAAATTTTTTCTCCATTTGGATCACTAGCTGGTAACAGAATGTGCCAGCATATGTCCCAAATACCTCTTTGAAAATGAGACCACTTCGTAGCTAATTCATAACAATAAAACTTGATGCTTTCTCACACAACATAGAGCTCTTCCTAGTATATGCCACAAAAATTAAAATATATACATTTATGTCAAAAGAATATGATTATTTATCTTTAACCTTTTTAAGCCTTCATAATGAAAATGGTATTAATATGCAAAATGTGTAAATAACTGTGTTCACAATTAGAAAAATTTGCCCTTGTGAAAATATGAGATTTGAAGAACTGAAATGAAATTTGAAGAGTCATATTTAAATAAGATTTAATAATATACAAGTTAAATACATATGATTTTGCTAGCCAAAAACATTCTTAAAAGCTAATAACATTATTACAGATTTTCCGCTGAAAAATACTACTCCTTAGAGTCAATTAACTACATAAGTAAATAAATAAATAAAGTTAGCCTTTTTACTATATGGAACTCTTCTAATCATCATTTCCATCTTAAAAGTATAATTTGGGAAGGTGCAAGACTAGGAAATATGTGTGCATTGATTGTACCATATAAGGATCGCATGGCTGTTCGCATATGGAATGCACACAGAACATTATTGACAAATTCAGAACAACCATATGCAATGCTCAATGGCACTTCCAAATATAAAATACAAATACAGTATGTAATACACTGAGCATGTTGCATACCAAATGATCAAGCAATTTACTGAAGATTAGCCTTTAAGAAACAAGTAACACTACAAATACCATATGTACCTGTTAATGATTTATTTTTTACATTGGTGATATTCATCAGATTGATCTTAAGTTAAAAACAAGTTTTCAGGGCTTCCCTGGTGGCGCAGTGGTTGAGAATCTGCCTGCCAATGCAGGGGACACGGGTTCGAGCTCTGGTCTGGGAAGATCCCACATGCCGTGGAGCAACTAGGCCCGTGAGCCACAACTACTGAGCCTGCGCGTCTGGAGCCTGTGCTCCGCAAAAACAGAGGCTGCGATAGTAAGAGGCCAGTGCACCGTGATGAAGAGTGGTTCCCGCTTGCCGCAACTAGAGAAAGCCCTCTCACAGAAATGAAGACCCAACGCAGCCAAAAATAAATAAAGAAAGAAATAAAGTTTAAAAAAATAAACAAGTTTTCACAGAATATTCCGGCCGAGCACTCTTTGTGGTAAATTAAAGGAGAATTATAGAACCAGTTTGCCAAAAGGGACCTTAGAGATCACGTAATCTTATTTTTAAATGGAAAACTTGAAACCTCAAAACGTTAAGTTGCTCACCCAAGATTACAAAGTCCACTAATGGCAGAGTTCCAGGTCTCCTGGCTCTCAAGCCTGGCCCCAAATGAAAGCTACCCTAATTTGTTCATATTTACTCCAAACACATATATATTTGTAAATCTTCGTAGGCTCATCTGGTTGTCCAGCACGTCATCTGCAGGAACACCAACTCTGGGGTCTGACAGGGCAACACTGCTCTATTCCCAGAGTGATTTCATTGACGATGACTCATACTTCCCTTGGGTTCACTGGGGAACAGAAGGAGATGCTGACCTCAGTAGAAAAACAGACATAGCTCTGTGAAAGTCATAACAGAGCCTCAAACTGTTTAATTCTGAAATAAGCTCTGCAGAGAACGCCTTCAAGGGGATGTTTTACTCTTTCTCCAGACTGCTTTAGGAAGCACACCAAACGTGTGTCAAACTTCCTCCCCCACTGCCATCAGCCAGCACTGGAAGGCAGAGAAAAAGCCTGAAAATTAAAGCAGAATATGTGGCTCCCAACTGCACACTTCAGCATTACATAGCTTTCCACCCCACCTCCCTCTACAGCCTATCTCCTTCAGGCACCGCAGAGAATAGCCTCCCCCAGACCTCACCACCCATGAAAAGTGTTCAACCAAATCACTCAAGTGAACTTCCAGAAGTATACCTAGATATAAAATACCAGCTGTAAGGAGATGTGGCCAATCATTCAGCATCTACTATTTTCCCCAACAGAACCTTGGGAAATGTCTGAACACCAAAATATCAAACATCCAGACAGATTCTTAGTAAATTAAAACAGTGCAAACAAACAAAAGCCAGTGCAATAACTGTTTCTTCCTGAACATCATCTTTTTCACTTCCAGGCAAATGCAGCTCCAGCCTAGACCATTCCATCAAAACCAGGATTATAACAGGAATTCAGTGAGTTCCAGTGCAACACACTTGAACAATCATGCCAGAAATCCTCCAGTTTATATATGGGGGGAGGAGGGAGTTAACTTTTAAGACATTACCAAAACAGACCATTTTTATGTCAATCACGGAAGTACTTGGTCTTTTATGGGTTGCAGAAATCGGGGATCCCTTATAAGACTTAAGAGGACTTGTTAAGTTTTAAAATCTTTCCCCAACCATCACATTTAATAATTCAATATCCAACATTGTTCATAAGGTTCTGAGCACTGTCATTACCCAGGCATATGATAGAACTCTCCTCCCCAATTAATCATGCTACTTCCTTCCCAGGCTCAATAAACCGTCACTCTTGCATTGATTCAATTATAGTAGAAATGACTGTGTGTTATTTTAACTTTCCATAAAACTTATTTTTAAATAGAGTAAATGCAGTACATGGAAATACCTTTATGAACCAAACTATTTACTATCCATGTTGTCTTTTATTGTCAGTTTCCTTAAAAAACAACAACAATAAACCTGGAGGTGGAGAGATTATATGACTAAAATGTGCATCCACCTTACTCACTAATACAGTGCAATAGCTACACAAAACAAATTTGACATTACCCATCAGTAATGAGAGATCAGCTTACACGACAGTGGCACTGCGGAAAGGGTCCAGGTCCAAAGGTTTCACCGACTACTGACAGCTGTTACATCTATTTTTGACATTGTATATGGTTAGTCACAGTCTGGATTCTTTAGAATCAAAGTCCATAGGTAACAGGGCAATTAAAGGTCTGCATTTAGCCACTCTGAGTAGAGCAGGTCAAGCAGTGTAGATGACATCACCCCTGATGGAGTTACTTCTTGGAGTCAGACACCTGGGAAATGGGAAAGAACCATGCTTTCATTAAAATGCAGTTACAAATATCTTCACAGTGCATTCTCCAGATTAGTTTTGATGCCCCTTCCGATTAATGATACTAAGGATTTCCTTGAAGAAGTATTGACCAATGATTACTGCCTCGGCATGGAGAATTGGAAGTTTAGAGAACTCCTCTGAAATAAGATCCAAGAAGAGAGCTGTTGTAGATGGACATTGATTCCCACCCATCATGTTTATCATCAATCTCTACTATGGTTTGATTGATATCATACTGCCTCGAGATAATTCATTCTGCATATCATTATAATAATCAAACCTTTATTTCTGTAGACTATCATGGGATATAGAGAAGAGAATTGTTTTTAATTCAACAAATTTCTTAGCAACAGAGAAAAATACTAGTTAACCCGGGTGGGCTGCATATAATTTTCTAGCACCTTGCTACTTGAAGTGTGTGTCCAGGTATCAGCACTGTGGCCATCACTGAGAATATGCTAGAAATGCAGAACCTCAGATGTCACTGGACCTCTTAGAGCAGAATCCATATTTTAACAAGATATAAAGTCTCAGGGCTAAACAAGTAAAGGCCAATGAATCTCCTTGACCCCACTTGGGAAACATGATTTCTCAAATCTTTCAATCATCAAATATTTTGGAACAAAAAAATAGAAGGATGGGAGTCAACAGATCCAAACACTAGGTCTTTCTTGCCTGTGTTTGTGTGTCCTTGGGTAAATGAGTTTACATCTCTGTATTCATTCCATGCTCAACACTGTGGTGGGTTCTTGGGAGTCAACACTGGACAAAACAAACACGGTCTCTTTACTTCAGTTTCCTATGGATAAGTGGAAGAGCATTTTAGTCAAAAAGTAACACAGACATATAAAATTGCAAGCTAATTTTAAAGAACAGTGAGAGTGAGCAGTTTGTTCAGCGTAGGGCCGGACATGTGGATATGCTGGGAATAGAAGGTGACATGAGAAGAGCTATATGCTTTGTTTTAGAGTTTGGACTGAAGCAAAGGGGAGCCATCACAAGGGTTGGGAATGGGAATGACATGAGCAATGAATTTCAGAACTACTTCCCTGCCATCTATTGGAAGGATGGATTTAAGAGAGAAGGGGCTGAACACAGGGGCTCCTGTTAGGAGAATACTGAGGTCATCCAGTGAAGAGATGATAAGAACCTGAAATGGTAGAAGAGAGCACAGACAGAACTGGTATGACTTCAAAACTAAGGGAAGTGTGTGTGCCTGGGGGGGGGGGGGGGGGGGGGGAGAAATAGACAGAACTGTGACCAACTCCAAAGTGTCTAGTAGGACAGTTGTAAAAAGTGATGAGGCTGTTAACTGAGAGAGACAACATAGTGCGAGGAGTGAGTTTGGAACGGAAAGGAAAGAGATCATGAGTTTTACTTTGAGTTTGTTGGGCTTGAGAGGTCTGAGGATATCTAAGTGGTGACACCAACTGACAGGAAGGAATGAGAATCTGTTCTTTGGACAAGATGACAGATTAAGGGCAAACTAGTAAACCCCTAGTATCAAAATGGAATGTGCTGACATTTTGAAGGACAAAGACATCCAAGGAGAGACTTCTGATGATAACGTATGTGCGCAGACACTTCAGAAAGAACATTTAGAGGTGCAACCAGCATGGACTATTTTAATTCTAAAAAAGAAAACTATGGATCATTAAAACAGGGGAGACAGAGGAGACAAAATCGGAAGTATAGGGACAATTGCAGCAGCAGCAAGTAAACTACTCAACAAACCGTAATAGAACAAAAAAATGTTTCATGGAAAAAAAGAGGGGTTTATAGAGAGGTTTTCATATATCTATAATCAGTTTGATAGAGATCTGTGTTTTTGTAATTTCTAGACTTAAGTGGTAATAATTGCAATGTGTCTCACCCTTACATGTTTTTATAAGTGATAAAACATGTTCAGAATGCCTCAAACTCTTATTCCCCAATAAAGTGCCCTGTTCGTTAGCTCTCACTATATTGATGGACATATGTCCCTATGAACATTAAACACACATGGACCTCAGTGCATATCAGTTACCGAAGGAGAAATGGGAGAGAACTGCAAAGTGAAGTGAGATAGGAATCCCTTCCATCTCTGGTCCAGACATGAACTTCTCCCTCACTGTGTAGCTATGATAGGAGAGCAGAATATTAGAATCATTAACCTATTGGATTTGGAGATTCAAAGGTAAACCCACTTTAGATAAATCTGATGTTCTTTCTAGCTGCTAATTGCCTCTTTAGTCACAATCTTACGGTGAATAATTAAAAGTATGGCAGAGGACTAGAGCTGATAAAGCATTAAATGTACATTTTTATTTAAAACTAGCACTATAATCAGTAATCGAGAGTGTGTTTGCCTTTATAAACCAACTATGTAAATATGCTTGCCTCTGGTTGAAGCAGCACTGGACTCCCCGCTCCTCAGAGAGTGTAATGCACTCTCCTTAGACATCAAATCCTGACTTCAAAGACTTGTTAGAAATAAATGGCTGAAGTGGACTTTGAGAACTATGCCATGATTTTATCTCTTGCTTACCATCATTCAGGGCCTGCTTGGATTCCCAAGTAAGAAATGGATATGTTGTCACTCACCACAGAAGCACTGAGTATATTTCTGGTGGGTAATCAAAAGAAAGGACAGTACAGTGCCTCTCTCCTCTCTCTATCTCTCTCTCTCCCCTTACCCCCAGTCTCTCTCTCTCTTACACACACACACACACACACACACACACACACACAAAATAAAGAGGGGAACCACGTGAAATTCTGAGGGTACAATGGGAAATTCTGAGGGTACAACGTAAGCCAGAGTTAGCTGCTTTCACCTTTTCTTCCTGAGAAGGAGCAGAGACAGAAGAGATAAGAGAAGAAAAGCAGGTTGAAAAGGTAACAAATGGTGCCGTGAAAGCGTGTGAGAAAAGGAGGAATGCAGCAATACTGGCAACCTGAACTGTAATTAATTCAGAAGCAAGGTCAACATGGATTAATGTAGACGAAGAAAGGAACTGGAACCCGTTTAGATAAACACTGACTAAATGTGAAACAAATGCCAAAGTCAGCAATGAAACTGGTGGAAATCAATTCAACAGAGTATTTTTCAGAGTCTGACATCAAGCTAAGCAAAGGAGCCTCCCTCCTCACTCCGTCTGCCTTTGTCTTCCAGCAAACCTTGCAGGCTGGTCTGCTTCCAGCAGAGCCCTGAGAGAGAGGGTGGGGTGAGAATCAACAGTGGAAGGACGGCGGGCATGCAGAGCTGGCCTGGGGTCCTGTCCAGCTCCTAACGAACTGCCAGACCATAGGGAACTAGCTCAGCCTTCAGCCTCATTTCCTCACTTGTAAAATGGACATGATTACGGTACATTCGTTGTAGGTTTATTGTGATATTTTCACAAGATAACGTAAATAACATTCAGCCCATTTTAACTACTCAAACATCAATAGATATTATTGTTAAATACTGTTAATTATTATTAAAGCCACAGAAGGCAGAATCAGAATAATAGTTTACATTTACAGAATGCATCCTGGCAGAGTACTCTATACTGTACAGACCAATGCTTTTGATCCCTAGAATGACCTTATCACAGGTGAGAACTCTGAGGCACGGAGTGGGTAAGTAATGGTTCCAAGAATTTGAACATCAAGCATAATCTTTGCTCTAAAAACTATGCTATATTACCAAAGTGTCCTTGGAACTAATCTGTTCAACTTCTGCATTTTACAGATGACAAAACTGAGCCTTACAAAGGTGATGTCACCTATTTTATACTATACAGCCAGTCAGGCAATCAGCCCATTATAGGAATCTGAGAGCCTGTTTCAATGGGCAACACTCTCCAACCCCAAATGAATAATCTAGAGCCTTCCCTGAAGGTTGAAATGCTTATCATATTTCATCCAGTCACTTTTCTCTACAGAAAATGCAATGAATCACGTTATTTATTCGTATCAGATTCCTGGTGGGGAAGGCATCTTTGTAACAAAACTTGATAAATTTGCAACTGGTGGTATTTGTTTGTACAGTGAGTGTAAAAGAATAGGAAAGAGAAGAACAGAATCAACTTTTATTAAGTGATCACTATGCTTGGCACTCCACACACTATGAAAGTTGACAAGCAACATCTGATCCACACAGATATAGGATGGGCCCTATGGCCAGAATAATAATAGTTAGTAAGAATAAGATTCTTATTTTAGAAGCTATAAATAAAACATAAGCAATTGTACTGTTTAGCAACATTCAATTGGCAAGAGGGAGCTAAGATGAACCTTGATGTTGAAGTAAAACTCTGACTACCACAGCCTTTGGAATTCACTCAGAATTTGTTGGTATTAATTGATCCGGTAGTGATAAAGAGCAAGCTTCCTTGGTACACGGAAAGTTTCTTCAGACTGAGCATCCTACCTCAAGCTATAGGAACCCTACCTCAGACTGGCATGCCTCACCCAGGAGGTTCTCAACTTCAGCAGGAGAATTTGCCTCAGGTCACAATGTAGGCAAAAGGACAGAAAGAGGAAACAGCTCCATATAAAGAGTTATCTGTCCTAAAACTACCCGTGGACAAACAATTCCAAATAAAGGACTGTCCTCTTCTTTAAGCCTCTCCTTCCCCCACATCAGTATAAATCAAGACCCCAGAAGAGTAGTGGTGAACCCTTTAAAATGAAAATAAGGATTCCACAAGACAGAGGCACCAAAATCCAAGTTCAGAACTTCAAGTGATAACGTCCTAAAATAAAGACTCCATGCTCTCTGAACAAATCTTTTGTGGTGTCTTCACACTCAATAACCCAATCTCACCATTCATCTTCATCTGGGTCTTAAAAGTGTCACAATGTTGCAATACCATTTCTCTCTTTTTTTTTTCACTTAACAATAAAAATGAAGTATACTTGATTTACAATGTTGCATTAGTTTCTGGTGTATAGCAAAGTGATTCATATATATATATATTATTTTTAATATTC